CTCGGTTTTTAATATAGATATTATTGTATTATTGTATTGTGGTTTTTATGAGGCTGTTAGCCGCCCTGAGTCCTATGAGGAGAAGGGCGGGGTACAAATTAAATTATTATTATTATTATTATTATTATTATAAATCACACTGATGTGATGGTCAATAGTTTTATGAAATGAACTCTGTCTATCAACAATTATTACTTCCTATTGATTGGGGAACATGGATAGTGGAGTGGGATTTATTTATTATGTCAATTTATATTTCTGCTTATCCTGCAATTACAACACTGGTTAGTGTACACTGGGCTAAAAAACAAAATCAGCAATTACTAATAAAATAATATTGTCCAGGAACAAGCCCAACTCAACCACAAAGAAGACAGAATCATACTGACACAATCGCCTAACTTCCAGAACTCTTCAAGGACTTAAGAAATGCTTCCAGGGTAATGGCCCTACAAATTTAAGAGGGCATGGTGTTCCAGAGGACACACATTACAACAGAGACAGAATGCTTCCTGGCATAATAGAGAGGGCTGGGAGCAATGCCCAATCTATCGGACATAATGGGCAGAAACTATCCTGGAGAGTTGATTCTGAAAACAACTTACGGTAGCTCCTATCACAAGGAGCTGTATAGATAGTACCTTGAATTTCACTCAGAAGCCCAATGAAAACCAATGCAACTTGTGAAGCAGCAGTGTAACATGGAAGCAACTGCCTGCACTGGTATGCTCTGGATAGGTTGCAACTTTTGAGTGATCTTCAAGGGTAGCCCTATGTAGAGTGACCATAGGGTGCAAAACTTGAAGTCTTAAACTTTTCCCAAAAGCTTTCTACTAGCCTACTTAGTAGTTTAGCAGTTTCCTTTACCATTACACAATTTCCACAGTACAACTCATTTGGCATCCCCTCCCTAACCCTAATGTAAGAGAGAACAAAACAAGTTTTTTTTTAGCAAGACTGCATTAGAGGGTTACTTCCCCTACCACAAGTCCTCACTGTGGTGGAGAGGTTTCCTAGGAGGGACTTGCAAAGAACACTAAGATTGTATGCTAACAGCTAAAGCAAGCAGCAGTGATAAAGAAAGGTGCTGGAAGCAGAAGATCACTTTCATGACAATGGCGAAGTCATTTCATACTGCTTGGGAGAAGGTCGTGGTATACCACACTTCTAGTTTACCAAGAAAACTACTTGAGTAGATAAGATAAAGCAATTAACAATATAGTATTGGATGATAAGCTACTGAGGAAGAGCTAAAGTTGGAGTACTAATGATGTTATGAGGTAGCTAGATTAAAGCCCTTCAGTTGCTGATGTTGCCATGCTAGAAAAGAAAATTTGAAGCTGCAAAGATAGAACTACAGTGGGAACATGGAACATATTGTAAGAAGCATAAAGATGGAAAGGCTCAATATGGTGTAACCTGACAAAATATCGACATTTTAAGTGTAAACAAATTGAAAAGACTGGAGTTGGACATTTTCAGTCAATCATGCTGTTTATTACTCAAGACACAAAAAACAAAGGAATGATGTAGTTTTCATTATCAGGAAGGATCTAGCTAGCAAGAGCAGTACTTGGTTGTAATGCAATCAATGAACAAATAACATCAATTAGACTTCACAGACAACCCCTTAATGTGAGAATTATCCAAGTTTATGCTCTAACAACACTGACTGAAAAGAAGAGAAAGTTCATGAGTTTTATAATCAAGTTCAATTTGAAATCGACAAATATGCAGGAAAGATGTGTTGCTTATGGTTGGAGACTAGAACGCCAAAGTTAGAAACAGCAAAGAAGAAAGTTTAATTGGACTGCATAGTCTAGAAAAGTGAAATGAAGCAGGAGAATGACCTATCAATTTCTATCAATCTCTTCATTTCTAATTGTCTTCAAACAACCAAAGCAATACGGACATCACCAGACAAAGTACACAAAAATCAAACTGGTTATACTATTGGTAGAAGGAAGTGGAAGATCTCAGTTAAAAAAGGAAAGCGGGTGGTGATTGTGGTCACTAAATGAGGACTACCTGTATACAGTATTTTGTCATTGGCTTCAGCAGGTGTTACTACCTGGCTAATCTCACAAGCTAAACAGAATTGCCTAATTAACACTGTGTGGAACATACACCCAGGTTATACCAAGGTATATGTATAAATAGAAAAAGTGAATTTTAATTTATTCAATACTTATTTATATAAAGTGAAGATTCATTCTAAGTGAGATTCAAACAATCCTTCAAATAATAAACAATAAAATGTATTAGGGACAATTCTTCTTTAAAAAAGTAAATACTTAACAGCTTTTCCAGAACCCAAGTTAAACACATTAAGAGTATATTTAAGCAATGATGCATCCATGATTTAGATAGCCATTCCAAAATAAATCTAATTAGAAGTGGTCATTAAAAAGTGTTTATGGTTGTCAGGCAAATTATTTAACATTTTAATAAAAAAATTAATCCCCAAATCTACTTGTTTTAAAAGATCAAATAGTAAAAAAAATCATGATTTTTCATATTACATACTTGTTCTTTATTCTTTTAGTCAAAAAACAAATTTTTGCCAGCAGAAGTTCTAATAAATATCCTCTTTGAGAATCTCCTAACATGTGCAATTCATCCACAACAACTATTCCTATAAAAAGAAACGAAGAGGGGACAATGGAATATGTATATTTTAATTTGTCAAAGTAGATTCCAAAACAGTATCTATTATAAAAGGAAAAATAAACTATCAATAACCTTAAAACAAATTGCGTGTATTGTATTCACTACAAAGTCAAGTTTTTCTCCGAAATAACTTATTTGGATTGTGTTCACCAAATGGAAAATACTATTGTAAATAATAATGTAAGCATTACATTATTGTAAACAAAGGTAGCAAATAATACAAGTAAGTAGCTGAAAAAGAAACAGGAAAATACAAATGTCTTCAATGAAGACCCACATTTTTTAAATTCTCCCTTTACAAATGCTAGAAGTTGTGGTAGAAGCTTTATTCTACCTCCATTCAACCTGTCTAATGTGCAAGTAAAAAGTAAAAAGATGGAATGAAGCTAGCAAATTGCATTCTATTTCCTCCTTCAATGAATTATGCTGTGGTCTATGGCAGAATTTCATAATAAATAGGCTAGAATTCACAAGAGACTAGTCATATTTTCATGTGAAAAATTAACTATTCTCCATTTGAAATTTTTGACTTTTTCAAGATAAATATCTTAAGTCTTTGTTTCAACAATATTGGTAAAGGTATCATGCACCATATACATTTTGTAATCCATTGTGTAATTTAAATAAACATAAATACAAATTTCTCCAATGAAAAAAGTAAATACGTCCCTACATTTATCATCATTTCAAATTATCTAAAATAAGAATAAGATATACCACATCAGGTACAAATAATTAGAACATTATTAGAGAGGATCCGGGAGGAACCTATCTTATTGAAACCTCAGGTACTTAGTTCAATTTGCTCTGTGTTGTTGAAAGACATAGATTTACCATCTTCAGATAGTTATAGATGAAAGGGATTTATGAAGTGCTGAAAAAAGGTTTCTGGGAACTCCAGAACTTCATCATGCGACTTACAGGAAGCTCTCATTACTACTGATGTCAAAATGCTTGAGTCTACTATTACAAGGTAGATCTACATGGGGGTTATGTTAGGGGAAAACCTTTGCTGTCCAGAATGAACATTAAGGCAATGCTAAAGTTTGCTCATGAATATCTAGGCAAAGACGAGGATTTCTGAACAATGTGCTCTGGACAGACAAGGCAGATAGTCTTTGGCCAGAGCCCCAGAAGACACATTTGGTGAAAACAAAAGACAGCATTTCACCAGAAGAACCTGATACCAAATATAAAGCATGGCGATGGAAATATGGTTTGAGGTTGCTTTGCTGTATCAGGGCCTGAGCAAATCACCACCATAGATTCCAATATGAATTCTTCATTGTACAAGAGGATACTTGAGGATAATGTGATATAATTTGTCAGAAGATTGAAGCTCAACTAAAAGAGGACCTTACAACACCACAATTACCCTAAATATTCCTGTAAATTCATTAAGGAATGACTTTAAAAAACCCTACAATGGAAAGTTTTGGAATGACCAAGACAAACCACAGATCTAAATCCCATTGAAATATTGCAGGGTAATATGAAATGGGCTATGCCTGTAAGAAATCCCTTTAATGTTGCACAGGTGTAAAAATTCTGAAGCAGTAGGAACAAATTTCTCCCAGTTGACATAGGGACTGGTAGACAATTATAAGAATTTTTTTTGAAGTTTTTTTTTCTGCCAAAAGGGACAATGCTAGGTATTAGATCAAAGGGGGTACCTACTTTTTCTACAGAAGGAAATTATGTATCTGTAATTATTTTTCTTGAAAAGATGATTGGAAAGTCAATTTTTATAGTTCTTTTGTTCAGTTACATCACCTTTATCTTTATACATAGTTTGAATAAAGATAAAATATTGATATATCCACATATGTTAAAAAAAATATTTACATGGAACATTCTTGCTTTTTCACATTTCTGTACAGAGAGCAGGCATGCACAAGTTTATTCCAAATTGTTATTTTATTTTATTTTTAATTTTTATTAAGTAAACATTTAAAAACAGGTTGAACACAGTGTGACTTTTCTGGCTATTATTTTGCCATACACACTATACCATATACCATACCATATATCTTCCTAGTCATTGATCTTTTATACCATTTACATATTACATTTTATACTATTTACATATTTATATATTTACATACATATTTACGTCTATTTATAACATAACTTCCATTTCCATTCTTACTTCATATTCTGATCTCTATCTTACGCTCACTTTGAGGTTGGAAATCTACACTTTCTCTCTTCTAAACAAGCTTTCTCTGTTCTGACTTTTTCTCGAGTCTAACCAATAGTACATCTTATCCCAAACTTCGTAATACTTTGTTTCATCCTTATCTTTAATTTCTAAGGATAGTCTATCCATCTCTGCACATATCAAAAAATTTCTAATTAGTTCACTCTCCAGCGGGGAATTTCCGTTTTTCCAATTCTGGGCATACACCAACCTTGCTGCTGTTATGATATGCAACATAGATATGTCTCTCCTTTGTTAAACTTCCCATCTATCATTCCCAGTAAAAACAATTCTGGTCTGGAATCTATCTTCAGTCCCAACATTTCCTCCAACCAAGTCTTTCTTAGCCGCCAAAATTCTTTGGCTTTGGAACAAGTCCACCACATATGACAGTGATGGCGAACCTTTTAGAGACCGAGTGCCCAAACTGCAACCAAAAACCCACTTATGTATCATTGGGTGCCGATTGGGCGTGGCCCATTGGGTGGGTGTGACCAATTGGGTGGGCATGGCCCATATGGTGGGCATGGCTGCGGTGGTAACAGCAGACTGGGTGGGACTAAAAAGTTCAATCAATCAATTCCAACTTTGCGAGATCTTTTTTTTCCCGCGAGAAGTTAAATTGATTGATTGATTGAACTTTTTTTTTTTGCACATGGCGCTGAAGGCCTAAAGCGAAAAGGTTTTATAAAACCCAGCTGAAGGCCTAGGACTGGGGCGATGGCGCGTATGCCCACAGAGAGGGCTCTGAGTGCCACCTGTGCCATAGGTTCGCCACCACGGACATATAATAAATGCCTAACATTTTCTTGCACTTCCAACATTGTGGTGATATATCTTTTCTCATCTTTGCCAATCTTGTTGGGGAGAAATGCCACCTGTAAAACATTTTGTACAGATTCTCTTTATACGAGGTAGCCAAGGTTAACTTTCTATTTCTTTCCCATAACATTTGCCATTTATCTAAATCAATATATCCGAAATTTTGAGTCTATGTTATCATCACTTCTTTTACCTGCTCCTCTTCCATTTTATATTCCAATAAATATTTATATGTTCTTTTGATTGCTTTCTCCTCCGTTCCTAATATTTTATCTAGTGTTGTCAGATTTCTCCATATACCCCATTCTTTTTTGTCTTTCTTATAACGTGACTGAACTTGCAGGTATGCCCACCATTCCAATTGTACCCCGTTTTCTTTTAATTCTTGTCTAAGAATTAAACTAAGAATGATCAAGAGGAACTTGTTTAAGTTTCCCTTGATCATTTAGAATATCTCTGCACGTAACTACTTTTCCCAAGTTCAAAAAATTTGAATGCACTAGCGCTTCCAGTGTTGAGAGCCATACCGGTGTTTCTATATAGTTCTTTGTTTAACTTTAATCCACACATTAAGTAATGCTGCTCTAATATGGTGTCTCTGGAAGTATTTTTTTTATAACAAATTTTATTGGTTTTTTAATTTTTACAACAGAATGCTCAAGACACACCGTGGTGGTTAGGTGATCAATCATCCAAAAACAAAATCATATAATAGCTCAAGTAAATACATTAAATGTTCCCTCTCTATTTCCCTCAAATAATATAACCTATTTAACATAATCCATTTCTACATTACATGTCTATAAATCCTAATCCTGTTTTGAACTTTATTAATTTACAGTTACCATAGTCCAATTTAATCTTAGATAAACGTATTATCACTTCGGGTATCCCTTCTAAAATACTAATCCAGATATATTCTAATTCATAATCTCATAAATCATTGATTTTTTCACAAATCTCTCTTATTTCTTCAGATAGCATTTAAATCTCATTCAAATAATTATCATGTTAAAAAAAAAGAATACACCTATTATTACACAAAACATTGTCTTACTAACTTAACACACTCAATTAGTTGTTAAAGCAATCCGAATTTCTAAAAACCTCTTCCATATTCTTATTCTCATTCCATTACAAAATAATTTTCATACAAATAAACATATTATTCCAAAAAGTACATTCTTACTCTGTTTAACATATATATTCTAATAATCACAATTTTTCAACTCTAAATCTTAGTCCTTAAATCAATCCATATTTCTCAAAATCTTTTTAATCCATTACATATAATTTTAAATTTCTCTTTTTAGTCTTATTCTGGCTTTCTTTTTATGCCAAGCAGGTTTCCATAACAAAGCCTCTATTTCAGCAAATAGATCTCCCGTTATTGCTTGTAATGTCATTTGGGTCAGTAAAAGACCTCCCCTCCTCTGTTTTTGACACCTGGCTCCTGTCTGCTGGATAAAACACTCGATCATGTCCAATTTTATAATTAATAGATGATTATCAAAGTTGTCATAATTCTCCAACAGTTGTAATTTCAAGTCCATTTCTGTTAGTTTTGCAATTGTAGATAGTTTAGTTACAATCATTTTCTGGTCATCCAAAGTCTCCATAGGTTGTATGTAAATTAATTCCTCTTCTATTGCTTTTTGGTCTGCAGAATGATCAAATAGAGTCTGAAGGTCAGTTTGTAAGTTCACAGTAGAATTTCTGTTTATTATTTCTGCAGTTCTCTCTCTTATTTGGGAACATATTTCCTCAGTAGCTTCATAAATTTTTTCCAGTATGAGTTTACAGTTGAGTTGTAAATATGGTTTCTCCATTTCAGTAGTAACTAAATCCAGTCCTGTTATCTTTTAGTGGAGGCTATATTCCAAAACATTTAGTCAGTATCCACCCCCACCAATAACAGCTGTTGGACCAAAGAAACAAGAAAT